CAAGTCTGCACCCCGCGGCAATGGAAGCATGAGCGGCCTTTGGGAACTATGTTGATTGGCTGACACGTTCAAAAGATCTCCGGTGTTCAAACATCAAGCAGCTTTGCTGAACATAGGTCCCTACATGCTTCCTTGCCCGTCTGCCGTCCATTGTACGCCGTGTGACTTGTAAAGCATCCGATTCCAAGCAGCAACCCAAGCAGCGCAGCAGTCCAACTTGCAAACTTGCCATGAATCACTAAAGCCTGAGTCAAACCACCTAAAAATTAAAGCACCTAAAATGCAATGCCACAAGCAACCCCAGTCTTGCACGCAATGCAACCCAATAACATTGCAGCATTCACCCAAAGCTGTCAATACTAAACATCTAAACAACTCATGGCCTACCTGCGTCCCATGCTCAGGTGCCTAGAGAGTTGCAGTCACTGGCGCCCCATGCGGGACCTCGTGCAAATTTCCCACCGCTCGTGCGGCTGAAGCGCTCGCTGACGCCTGGCGAGCATAAAAGGCCATTGGTGGAGCTGCGGCCAGGAAGGGCCGTGTGACTTTGCGCCGAGTTACAGATTGTCAACTTCTTGAGGACAAGAACAGTGGCAGAACGCGTCAAGAGCTCACTTGTGCCCACCAATTCTCGCTTCTGCCTGAAAGGCAAAAGGTTGCACCAGTGCATGCCTATTCAAACTGGCCCTGGTTCCGTCATAGTGTGTGGAATGCAATCACTTGCAAACATGAAACCTTAGCCCGGCCGAACGCCCCGCAAACAAACTGCAAAGGCACCACCCATTCAAGTGCAAGTGGCAAAGGGACAACTCGCTCCGTACTCTTACGGACGGCATGCACTCGGTCCATCTCGCAGCCACCCTCTTGCTGCATGGTTCTTGGGTGCTTAATCCTCAAGATCTTTAGAACGACACTGACCCCTGCTACAGTGAAACGGCGAAGCCCGCCGATCCCGCAATCATGCAGCGGCACGCCCCACATCTGCACAAGGGCTGCAGCCCGCCTCGCCTCCTGCTGGAGCTTCAAAGACGCAAGGCGTCACAAAGCGTTTGCAGGCTCCTGGCACGGTGGCTTGGCCTTCAGGAGGCCAAGGTTGCCCCAGGAACCCCCAAGGATTTGAATCAAGGACTCGCATCATAGTCTTTATCGCTCGAAATGCGAAGGTGTGACACTAAACTGATCCATATACGATTGAACTAAATCTGTGCTGCATGCGAGTTTGATTGGCTGCCTGCTAGCAGGCAAGATGAACAAGAAAGCCGAGAAAGCTGCGCGACCATTCCTGGCACCATCCTCATTTGCGAAGACCAACTTTGTGGGGGTTCATTGCCCAATTGATGCTTAGCAGCCGCGATTGGCCCTCCCTGGCTCCAAGACATTCG